TAATGACCCTCCTGGTCATTTCTGTGTCTTGCCTTCTGTGTGTCGTTTAGAGCATTCCTGTAGCGACCCCAAGTCATTTATGACTTGCTGGGACTAACAGTTCGGTCACCTGGTTGTTCGTTTGGTTATGGTGCGAGTTTTAGTGTGTTGGAGCTTATGAATCTTGAACGATCATTTTCGATCAAAAGTTCAAGAAGATGAATCGAAATCCAATTCTGACGATTCCACTAGCTCCGAAATGTCAAGTTTGGTCTTGATTGAACCATCTTTTGAGTCCCAAGGTTTCCGATATTTTTCCTAGCCCTTTTGTAGTTTTTGACTTAAAATGATATGTGGGTGTGGGACCCACTTTTTGTCAAGATGACCTCGTATGAAAATTTTGACAGTACCATTGAGTCCGAAATATCAAATTTGGTATGTTTGCGTATCTCATTTGTGTGCACGGGGTTTCGAACGAGTTCGGAGCACCCCGTCGAAGTTTTTAAGTTTTATGGAAAGTGCAGAAAATCTACACTTTTGGAAAATCTTAAAAACCTCATCTCTCAATGGAATTAGGCGATTTGAAGTGTGGGAGCTTCATATTTTCGGTGGCTTCACTGTAGAGTCTTCGGAAGTTATCTCACTCATTTTAGCTCGGTTTGGGTGATTCGAAGGCCCACGTGTTGAGAATTATCGTGGCTACGTCGTGGAGTGGTCAAGGAGTGTTGGGCACTATTAGATTCTTGTAAATTTCAAGTTTAGATTGTTGCATGTTTTCTTTTAAGTTGATTAAAGTGTGGTTTTTTTTGCGTGTTGGGTTTTGCTGCGTTTTGAGACTCGAATTGTGTTCCATTCTGGAACACAAGTTTGGGGTATTGTTTAGGGTCTCTTGACGGAGTCAAATTCGAACAGTTCGATGCGGGTCCCACAATTCCCATTTTGACTCCAAAATTGACCTGTCTCCGTTTATTGTAATTTTGGTGTCTAAAAGACCGTAATAACGTTGTGACTTTATTTTTGGTAGCGTGGCAGTGTTTCAAGGCTGTTCGGAAAGGAAAAGCTCCGAATGAGTGATTTTGGAGTGCGCGTGATCGTCCTACAGGTAGGCTACGACTTCCCTCTCTTAGACTGAACTCGAGAGTGTGAATGCATGTTGATTAGTTGGGATTTGGATTGGTAGTTATTAATCATGCATAGGTGTTTAGAAATCATGTTTTGGCCTCTTTCGGGAATTATCGGGTAACTGTGAGCATGCTATGTGTTACTAATTGACCCTCCTTGCTATGTAGAGTGTTTGAATTCTTGATTACTGTTTATCTGAAGCATGTTGGGTCGTAGTTTAGGTTTGACTAGGGCTTGCCTTAGAAATACATGATTCAGATCCGATAGGCCTTAGTTTTTCCCTGACGTCGCTCGGCCGGCTTAGATCCTTGTAGACTGGTGTAACAGACTTTAGTCAGATAGTTTGGGGCTTAGTTAGGTGATACGCTTGCTCCGATGATAGCTATCCTTATTTTCCCCGATGTTATGGCTTCACGAGTTACGTCGACGACACTAGTTCTGGTTCGCGATTTGAATTTGATTTTTGATTCGGTTCCAAGGACTTACATTGATTAGCTAAGTGTGGACGACATTCCACAGACATTTATGAGTATGGATCGATTTGGACTCTTTCAGCAGCTACATTGGCACATTTATAGAGCATCCGATTTAAGGTCGGGCCTCTATCGCCCAGATACTTATATAGAGCATCCGATTTAAGGTCTGACCTCTATCGCCCAGATACTTATATAGAGCATCCGGTCAGAGGTCCGGCCTCAGTTACTTGATACTTGTTATTGGTTACTTGGGTACTTTTGGTGAGCATCCGGTTTGAGGTCTGGCCTCCGTACTGTCAGATTCTACTAATTGGGGTTGAGGTTCTAGTTCGATGTTCTCCGTTCTTGGGTTCTCATATGCAATTCTCTTTAGTTATAGTTATTTTGTGTACTCATCAGACTTATGGGGGTCCGTTCGAGTTTTAATTAACTTGCGCACGAGTGTACCTTCTGGGCTTATGGGGTCCAGTTAGCTTATAAATTACTTTAGTTAGTTATGTCTACACTCGTGTGCATTCCATTATTACTTAGATTTCCGTTGTTGACCTCTATTTGTGTTATTCCTTCTTTTCATATTGCCTTTACTTTTCAAGTTCAGTCGGCCTATGATGCCTACTGGGTACCTGCTGTTGTGGTACTCATGCTACGCTCTGCATCTGTTTCGTGATGCAGGTCCGAGCACCAGTGGCCAGGGTTGATCCAGTTTAGAGTAGTCTGATCCGGAGACAGGGGTGAGCACACGGCGTTTTGTACTATTTCAGTCTCCATCTGTATATATAAACTTGTCTTTTACCTTTCGAGACAATACAATCTCTGTGGTCCACTTTTGGGACTTGTACTCGTTTTGTTAGTAGCTCTATACTAGTGACTTCCAGGTTCTGGGAAGGATCTTTATTTGTATATATGTTTTGGTTTGCGTCCGCCTGTTTATATTGTTATCTTAAATTTTACCTACTCTTGTTTAGTTTCTGCCCTCAGACCCATTACTTGTTGTTCCGGGTTACGGGTTGACTTACATACTGGTAGGTTATAGTAGGTGCCATCATGACTCGAGGAATCGGGTCGTGACACAGAGTCAGGCCCATCCCAATTTCTTTGTTCACGGATGTTGGACCCCCATATTATAGTGTCCACGCTCCAGTTAATGAGGTCTGGGCTTGCGGGGGAGTGTTAAGAATTCTCGAAGAGGGATGGGAATTCGATATACTTATATGGACTTGGACAATCCTCCCTTCATAAGCTAGCTTCTGAGGTTGAGTTAAACCCAAGATCGTATCAGAGCAGGCAAAGGTCCTGAGATCGAATCTCACCGCCACCCAAATCAAAAAGAATTTCCACATGCTTGGCCCATGAAAAAAAAATCTGGCCCACACGTGATGGGGCGTGTTGAGAATATAATCAAATAATAAAAGTGTGCTCTCTCTAACAGCTTAAACTTTTAGATGAGATGGTCACACACTTCAACATGTTCAATCATCAACTTAATTATTTATTTATCAATTATTCATAAATTTGGTGTTTGAGGTGGACCTTGCTTCAACATAACTCTTGTTGATAGTAGAAACTTTCAAATCATTAACAGGTCTGATTTGGTAGTTTATGTTGTTGATTCTGAGCCATATATAATGTTTGATAATTTTAAAGAACAAGTGTCAGAATGTGTTACATAGTGATGATGTTTATCTACGTAGGAGAATATATGGGCGTGTGTTTGGATATCCTGTTGCCTTCTGTATCCACAAGTGAGCCATGGGATTGAGGAATTGAATTCTGCATTTTTCTTCAAATTGCTTTTCTGTGTATCAGAACAACAAATGAGAGAAGTTCCTGCATAGACCACAGTTGTTCAAGTTACCTGTAATTCATCCAATTACTAGTCAATATCTCTAAATTGTTTCCACTTTAATACTGGTTCTACGCTTATTTAATACTCTTACTGCATTTTTATTGGGTTATTGATTGAATAGTAAAGTGGGATGGCACAAATCTCTTATGTTTAATCATATGGGAGTTAAAGGCAACTTAATCTAGTTTGATGTTAATGATGTAATCACAGTTTTACATGGGGTGCTTCTCCTATGTTCTTCACAATTTTTGAAGGTTTCAGAGTATCCCAGTTTATACATATGCTTTCTGTTTCCGGGTATCAGTGGTTGTTATCTTGGTTTTTGACTAGAAAAGGGACTAGGCACTGCTATATGCAGTTTCCCAAAAAAAATCACTTTTGGAGATTGCCATCCTTTTTATTTAACGATGGAACTAGAAGGGACATTTTTTTGGGGCTTAATTCAGTCTAAGATTGAGAGTTTACCTTGATGGCTCATGATAGTGAATTCTAGTTCATTTGGAAGTGAAATTCCTCAGAATAAAATGAGCTTCACCATAGATCAAATGAAGTATGGATTTTCAATATTGAGAGTTTATACTTTGACTCCTGACAACTTGTCATTGGAGAACCTTGAATTGTCTCAGCCTAATGGGAATGGTTAGAGTTCTCATTAGTCTTGGCGCTCAAGTCTAACAAGATAAATCAGGCTCGACTGAATATCCAATCTGGTTATATTGTGGCAACACACTTTCTATGAAATTGAAGACATAAATATCAGCATATAGAGTAATTTAGATATATTATTTCAGTCCTGTCATTTCTTGTGACCACCATCTTGTCAAGATGGTGTATTTCATCTTTTTTTAACTATATATGCGTTACAAAATGAGTCATGTTCCTCTTTCATTTTCTTCAAGTATTTCAGTTGACCAACAACAAGTTATTGGAGTTGAATTCCCGGGAATTGCTTAGGCTCCTTGAAGTGCAACTACCTGGTTTAGTATGTGAAAACTTCTTATGCGACGACTTGACGGATGATGGATCTGAGAGGACAAGAGGTCGCAGTAGTCTGGAAGAGACCATTTGTTGTTTGTATATGAAGGCTGCAGATCTTGGAAGTCTGGGGAAGAGCCAATTTGACATATGTTTCCTCAGAACTTTTATTTGGGGAAAATGCTAGTTCTTGTATTGTTTTCCGTGTAGATCTGCTTGTGAGGACAATTGTTACAGTACTATTATGGCAGCATATTATAATTTTGTGAGTGGCTAATCTCATAGAGCAACTGGCGTGAGTTTAACCTTATAAAAGTTTTCTTTTGCATTTCTAGAAAGTAATAGAGCAGAGCATTCCATGATTTTTATACAATTTTCTTATAAGTTTTATTTAATATTTTTTAGAAACCTGTTGGACGACTTATATTTGGAGTAGCTGCTATGCTCGTTTCATGTTTGATGCTGCTGAGCCTTGTGTTTCTTCTAGGAAAGCAAGTTTTCTCTGCAGTTTTCTATTGCCAATAATCACCTGAGCTGGTGGCATTTGGATGAGATTTTTATTCTTGTGGTAATTGTTATTGTTGTAATAAGCATGGGATCCAGTTCGGTGGTGGAGGAAGAGCAGTACATATGTCATTTCATGACATCCTCGCTTTATTTGTTATCTCTCTGAAAAGTAATGCAACAGTGCTGCTACCTTGGGTCTAAAGACGAATCATTACATCCAGATTTGCTCAATTTTTGAGAGGATGGCATCAAGGTGGTGTTAATTAGACTAATTTTTCAAAATGGTTAAGAGCAAGTGGGAAGTACTTATATAAAGTTGTTCCAGCTGGTTTCAATAATCATCGTAATCAATATAAGCTTAGTTTCTCTTATGTGGTCCAGACAGTCAGAAAAGAACTTTATGACCGTAGTTTCCTTGATGCAATTGTTCCCAGGGTATCTGGTTTTATATTATAACACTAAATATCAAGATGTTGCAGGTAGTTATGATGCTACTTTAATGGCTCAGATAGTTTATGTTGTCCTAGGTTTCTGTTCAACGACTATTGTGTTGTTGTGCCATGGTGTATACTTTCCAAAATCGTACACTTTCTGTTCCTCAAAGTCCAAAGAAAGGCTTGGGGTTTATGTTTTAGGGATTCGATTGGCTTGAGTTAAATATATTATTGGTCGCTTTTATAGCTATTGTTGCAGCAGCCCGTAAACTCAATGCTTGTACTATTTCTCTTCCTGCTAGCATTTGGTATTCTTCTGGTTCCAACCAGCATCGCAGGCAGTGGGTTGAGGTCAGTCAGATCTTTTCAATATTCATCCAAATTACAACTTTAAGGACTGCCTGCCTAATACTAGTTTCACAAGTCTTGTTTTTCTCCTTTTCCCGTGTCAGGTTGCTGCACTTTACTACATGGGAATGGCAGGCCATTTTGGTCTTGGTAACACCAACACCCTAGCTACAATCGATGTTGTTGGGGCTTTTATTGTAAGGTTTTTGTGTTTAATATTGTGTTTCATGCTAATTTCTCATCAGGATGCTCCACATTGATTGATTGTCAGGGTGTCTTGAACCACTCAACTATACTTTCTGCTTCACCAATGTTGTACCTCCTTAGCATGGTGATGTACAATTCTGTGAAAGACGCTAGTAGTTTCATAATTTCTGAGAAAGGCAATATTGGATAAGAGGACACTTGGTTTTCCTTGTTTTGTTCCGTTGGGTTTGAATTCCATTCTCTTGATAGCTTACACAATTGTGTTGCTATTAATGAGAAACCATTTATTTGTTTGGAGTGTATTTTCTCCCAAGTAAGGCTGGCAACGGAACCGGGAGGTACCGGTACAGGTTCCGGTCCGTTCCAGTCTGTTATCAGTTCCGTCTCAGTTTCGGATAGTACCGGTTCGATCCGGTATTGTGCCGGTCTGGGAGGGGTAACGGGATGAAAACCGGGATTTACCGGTCCGGTTAGTCCTGGTTTCGATCCGGTTCGTTCAATTTTTTTTCTAAAATCTGAAATTTCAAATTATAGCCGTTGAGAGTCGTTGGGCAACGGGTTTTGGGCCCCACCAACGGCTCTTTCACCCCCATAACTTCCCTTTACACCTCCCTACCCCCCAAACTTTTTTTAATACTCAACCTTCTTAAAATTACATTTTCATCCTTTTTTTTTAACTATAAATACCCCTAATCTTTCATTCTTTTCACTCACAAAAATATCTTCTAATCTCTCTACTCTCTACTCTCTAAATTCTTTTATTCTCGTTAAAATTACGAATTTGGTCTTTGGAAATTGGAGCTTCAAAATTCAACTTTCAATTTTCGGCTTCTGGTCATACACGTCTACCTTTTTAAGTAGACGTTTGGTACATTCGTTCCAACTCACTTTTCATTTAGTTATTTATTTATTTGCATTTAATTATTTATTTTGTGAGTAATTAATCTCTAGTCTCTACTTATTTAGTTATTTATTTGTTTAAAACTTTGCTAATCATTTTCGTATTATATATAATTTACTCACTTTTTATATTTGAATATGAATTTCGGAAAAAACATTATTGAAAAGGGTAAAACAACCATAGTTAATTCGTTCACTAATTTATCTACCTCAAAATCCAAGAAAAATAAAAAAACCGATAGTACTTCTCAATCTAAAACTAAAAAAACTTCTCAATTAAGAATAAATACGGATGATTATACACATGTTGATGAAACTGTTTTTAATATTGATAGTAATAGTGGATTAGATCCTTATCATGAACATTTACAAAGAAGATTTGGTAATTTTGAAGAGGAATTACCTGAAGATGATGAACATGATGATGTTAATGCTTATGTTGGTAGTTTTGATAATAATGTTGATGATTATGATGATGATGAAACTGAGCCACCGTTGGCTACTAGTCCCACTCCCAATCCCTCTTCCCCGGCTCCCACTCCCTTTCGTTGTCCTGCTCCTGTTCCCCCCGTGCATCCTAGGACTAAGGTAAAACGCGCTAAAAAATCAGTTGTGTGGCAATTTATGACTCAGAATGAAGATAAAACACAAGCTATTTGTAATAAATGTAAACATAGAATGAATCATAAAACTGTAGGAAAACAGGGTGGGACGGGACATTTGAGTAATCATTTAATGTCATGTTGTAAAAATGAATTTTTGCATGCTAAAGCTGTAGCCGAAGCTAAAAAAAATGGTACCACCCTTCCTGAAAATGTAGGAGTAGAGGGCTTTAATATGGTCCAAACACAATTAAATCCTTCTAATGTTTCTGGTTCTAGTATACAACGGTCATATAGTAGAGAAAAAGATCTTGAAGAATTAACTAAAATGATTGTTGTTATGGGTTTGCCATTTAGTTTTGCTGAAAATCCCAATTTTATTCATTATATTCAAATTGTGTATAATCCACATTTTAAAGGTTTTACTAGAAATACAATTAAAAAGGCTATCTTTGATTATCAAGCTCAACATTTTCAATATCTTCGTTGTTTATTTTATTATAACCATTGTAAAATAGCTATTACTTCTGATATGGGCCGTAGTTTAAATGGCAATGATTATTTCACTATTAATGCGCATTGGATTGATGAAAATTGGACTTTGCAAAAAAGAATTTTAGGTTATAAATGTTGTGAAATGCATAAAATCGATAGTTATATAGCTCGAACAATTATAGATGTTTTGCAAAACTATGGAATTTGTGATAAAATAAGTAGTGTCACATTAGATAATGCTTCTAATAATAGAACTGTCGTTGAAATACTAAAACCGTCTCTTTGCCCTATTTATATTGATAGTTTTCATATTAGGTGTGTTGCACACATATATAATTTGATTGTTAGAGATGATATAGCAATGTATGATGATGGTTGCACAAAAGTTGAAACTGCATGTCATTTTATTTTTAAATGTCAAGTTAAGCCTAGACGTAGAGATTTTGAAAATCGTTGTCGTGAATTTAATCTTCCACCTAGAGAAATTCCAAAATCAGTGTGTACTAGATGAAATTCTTTATTTGAAATGCTTGAAGTTGCTTATGAATATAGGAAACCTTTATAAATGGTTTGGAATGCTCATAATTCAAATATGACATATAGACTTGATGATAATGATTGGAATGACATAAAAGAACTTATAGAATTCTTAAAAGTTTTTTATTTAACTACAAAAAAAATATCTGCACTTTATTATCCAACTATTTGCTCTGTTTTACCTAATATTTGTGTTATTTCTAGTAAATTTTATAAATTCAAAAATAAAACAAGATTTGAAGAATCTGTTAAGAAAATGATTGAAAAATTTAAAAAATATTTTATTCCTATTCCTTAAATTTATTTAACTGCTTGTTTGTCAAACCCACATTACAAAGATGAAGGTGCATCACGAATGGTTGATAAAATATATTTTAATTTGGGTATTGATAGTGAAGAAGATGAAACACCTAGTTGTCAAGATGTTAAAGATAGTATAAAAATTGAAGCTAGAAAATTGTATGACTTATATAATTCTAATATAATGAATGTAGTACGTAATGAAGAGCCTCAAAGTTTTAGGAGTAGATATAATAATGAAGATGATATTGATGATATGATAGATTCTTATATTAAACTTTCTCGTAATGATAGAAATGATTTTGATGCATATATTAATCAAAATACAGAAGCTACTACTATTGATCTTCTAGAATAGTGGAGCAATCGCGGCCAGAGAATTCCAAACTTCAACCGGTTGCTCGAGATGTGTTAGCTATTCAAGCATCTTCAATAGCTTCGGAAGGCGCTTTTAGTGCAACAAGATTTCAAATTGGAGAGCATAGATATTCATTAGCAGCAGATAGCTTGGAGATATCGGTACTATTTAGAGATTGGATTAATGGCGAGAGAAGGAGTTATGGTCGTCCACCTTTACCGACCAAATTTGAAAATGACGTTGATGAAATAATGCAAGATTTTAGTGATGACGACATTGATGCAATGGAAGAACTAGCTAATCAACCAATTCCAGAGCATGTTACTAGAGAAACGTTAAATGATTTAAAGAAAGATTTCTTTGGTAGCATGAACTATTAAATTTAAATGTCTATTAGTATGAGTATAATAATTCGAGGTCTAATTCAAACAAAACCCTTCCTAGAAGGTGGCTGTGTAGATTAGATTTTTTAATACTCTACTAATATTTTTTAACTCAACTTGTACTATTTAATTAATATTAATAAAAGTATAGGCTATTCGCCTTAATTTTTTTTTTATTTAATTTTTTTTTATTATTGTCTTCAAAAGTTCAAATTTTACTTTTAATGTGTGAAATTTAAACTTTTATAGTTTTAAAGTTTTAAAGTTTCAAACTTTTAAAGTGTGAAATTTAAACTTTTATAGTTTTATAGTTTTAAAGTTTGAATTTAAATTTTCAAACTTTTAAAATTCAAAGTGTGAAATTTAAACTTTTATAGTTTTATAGTTTTAAAGTTTGAAATTTAAATTTAAATTTTCAAACTTTTAAAGTGTGAAATTTAAACTTTTTATAGTTTTAAAGTTTGAACTTTGAATTTAAATTTTCAAACTTTTAAAGGATGAAATTTAAACTTTTATAGTTTTAAAGTTTGAATTTAAATTTTCAAACTTTTATAGTTTTATAGTTTTAAAGTTTGAATTTAAATTTTCAAAGTTTTAAATTGTGAAATTTAAACTTTTATACTTTTAAAGTTTGAAAGTTTGTATTTAAAACTTTAAAAGTATAAATTTTTTTGTGTAATGTTCCTAATTTTTTTAATTTTAATAATTTTTTTTAATTATAACAGTTGGGACCCGATTTCCGGTCCGGTCCGGTACTGGTCCGTTACCGGTTCGGGAAGGGTACACTGATTTTTTTCCAGAATTACCGGTTCCGGTCCATCCCGGTTCCGGTCCCGTTGCCAGCCATATATATATATATATATATTGAATTATTCTTTAATTTTGGTTCTAGTTGGCCGACTTTGAAAGGCTTTAGGGAATTAGATTCTTGAACTTTCAGTATTATTGTAAATAATAAATATAACTTTTACAAAAAGAAATTGAGAGAAAAAGAAAAAAAAAAAGCAACTAAGGGGAATATAACTATTTATGGGCAACATATAACAAAGACTTTTGATAGGGTCAAAATTTTTAAAGTAAGAAGTGCTTATTTTAATAAATCGAAGTGCTTAACCTAATTTTTAAGAATAAATATGTGTTTTTGAGTAGTAGTGATTTTTATTCAGAAGCTAAATTAAAAGAAACCAATCTGAGAAACATTTTTGAATTCTTGATCAAATACAAATTATTTTTCTAATCTCTACAAAAAATACTTTTAAAATTGATTAGCCAATTAAATACAAATTGTTATTATTTAGTGCTTTTAAAGCAACTACTTATGTTTGCATGAGATTAGGCTATAAATAGGGGTGTACATGATTGGGTTGGTTCGAGTTTTTTAAATATCAAATCAAATCATTTGTGTCAGATTTTTAAATCTATAAACCAAACCAAACCAATTAAACTCGGGTTTTTCAACCTTTGGTTTTTTCGGATTTTTTTGGTTTTTTCGAATTTTTCCGATAAAGTATTCATACAAA